ATTTTAATGTAAACTACAGTCTCTCACAATGTGAAGTGCTACACTGTATGGAAGATAGGACCTTGGATTGCTTCTTTATCTGCAAACTGACTAGGCCTCCTTCCCAAACTGAAAAATATCTCAGATGGAGTTTCAAATAAGTCCTCCATAGCCAAGGAGGACTATGCGTTAGACAAAGATCCAGACAGTTCTACTTCTCCATTTGTTGCCTGATCCAAATCCCACCTCCAAACTAGAAGTGCATCTTAGGGGAACGCTTTACCCTAGTTTCCTCATGGTAAATCCCAGCAGCCTAAGAGCAAGTCTACAGTGTATCTGGGAAGTATGATTGCTGCATGTGTAGACATACCCAAGTCAGCTAGATCTAACTAGGTCAAAGCTACCTCAAGTAACAACAGCAGTGGAACTGTGACAGCTTTGCTCACTGCAAAGCTTGGGTGCATATTTGAGAGAATGAGCTGTGCTGCTCTCGTTTCATTGCTATTATTACTCTAACTAGCTTTATCTCAAAGCCAGATATAGTTAGATCAAAGCTAGCCTAGATATGTCTACCTGTGCTGCAATCACACTTCCCAATTACAGTGTAGACATAACATGAGAAGCAGGCAGTAGCTGAACTCCAACTGCAACCTGGCCCTTTCTACTGAATCTGGGAGAAGAAAAACCTGTCAACTATAAATATTTGCCTTTGCTTTTTTCTTTTTAAAACATATGACATCTAAGACTGTTGCTTTAGACTTACCAGTATGTGCAATAAATCAAGTTTACTGCCAGCTTATATCAATACAAACTGTGTTGGAACGCTCTGGTGGCCAAAATTACACTGGGAACAAACCAGTCACAACTCCTTCTTCTATTATGAATGGAGACTGCAAAGATCTTGTGCAGACATGAAAATTGAGGCACAGTCCAAAAAGAAAACATTGTCAGGACAGGGTTAAAGGAGGTCGCGGATGTCTTCCCAGGGGGTCGCAGCGCTTAGATCCGGCCGGCTGGAGGCTGGGTGTGGCCGCGTGGCTGGACCCAGCAGTTGGCGGCCCCTGTAACGCGGGGGGTCGCAGGTCAAAAAAGGTTGCACTGGCTTAGATGATACAGCAAACAGCATTTCACACCTCTGTATCATCTTATTGGATTAGACTCATTAACTATTGCTTAATGGTGATTTTATTTTGGTAACAAGAGATTATGGATATCAATATCTATTTAAGTATTTTTCTATGTTTACATTTTCACAGTTGCAAAGAATTATGGATTTTAGGCTTTTTTCCTACCTAATTTTATCACTGAACATTTCAAAGTTGCCAGAGAAATTGCAAATATTCAATAAGCATTTTAAAAATATGAATTTTACAGGTTGGAACTTCTGGTCCAGCACATTAGGGACCTGACTGGTCCTAGATGAGGGATTTTTCTGGGGAGGTCATTTCAGGCACCCCTCCACCCACACAATGCCGCTCTCCCCGCAGCCCAGCTGAGCCTCGCACCAGCTCCTGACGCTCTCCTGTAGCACAGTTGAGCTATGTGCATTTCCTTCCCTGCCCCCTTCACCGTTTCCCCAGCAGCCTAGCTGAGTCGCTCACTGGCTTCCTTTCCTCCTGCTTTCCCCTGCCCCGCAGCCCAACTCAGCTGTGTGCCAGCTCCTGTACTCCCACACCTGCTGCCGCGCATGAGACTTTCTGGTCCTGGAATATCCGTGGTCATGCTGGACCACGTTGCCAGACCAGAGACTCTGGATTTTAGAGGTGTAATCTGAATTAACTGAACCATAGTAAAAAAGAGGCTTTAATAATAAATGTCTTATTCAGAAAAAATGATTTATGCAGCAAAACGTTTAGAAACAAATGATAAGAGGCAGTACAGATTCACTTACACAAGTACTAAAAACTATATTCTTCATGACTGTATTTCTAAACATCATGGTTCAAACATACAAAACACCACCAATATTTAACAACGAAATGACAATAGGAAACAAATGCACACATTGCAACAAGTGGAAATAGTCAACTGAAGAAGAATGTTGTTACCTCATCATGAGTGTATCTGTAATCTGCCTTCTTTGATTTGAGGTCCCATAATACTACTATTCCAGACTCATAGCCAATGAGAAGCTGCAATAATCAGAGTAAAGTGGGTTATCTCTTACAAAATTAAGAAAAGTTACTTAAAAGAACTGTAATGCTAGTGCTATGAAATAGGTACCGGAGTAACACTGGATCCTTCTCTTGTATTTTTATTCCTATATGACAAGAAATGGAATATTACACAATAAAGTTATAAAACTATTAAAGTACTTTACTATTCCACAGCAGATACATGGTCTCAAAACTTCTATTGTACCATCCAAATTTTGATAATCACAAAATATTCACCTTTAAAATCAGAGTACTAGTTTATCATCAAACCATGTTTAATCAAACGTTTCATGTGTACATTAATACTGTGATGGAAGACAATAATATTTGTATTTATATTTTGGGGTGCAATCTTAGCTGATACAGAAAGTAGGACATAACACTATAGTTGGTTAAATGATTGAACTATAAGCGATTAACTAATAAGTGGATGTGTATCGGTTAATGCTACCAGCTACACTGTTCCTCACCCCTTCTTCACAGCTCAACCAATGAATTTTTAGCGGGCCAGCTAGCAGCCTGGCTCATGCTGGATCCCAGGAGCTACCCTGCAATAACTCTTAGAGCTGCAGTGAGGGAGAAGGGAGTAGCTCCTGGGAACCCGGCGTGAGGCAGGATTGAGCCAGGCTCCTAAATTACTGTGCATGCAAAGCCACAGTGGGGGGAGCTCCAGGACCCAGCACCCAGTAGTTGCCAGACCTGGCACAAGCTGGGACTTAGTGCTTACAGCACTAACCCATATTGATTATCCATGTAGTCGACTACACAATTAACAAATTATATGTTTTTCAACATCCTAAACAGAAAGGCATATTTAATTCTGGCCCATATTTTTAGATTTATCCTATTAGCTATTTGATTAACAGAGGTTTTATGCAGAGCTGTCAATTAATAGCAGTTAACACATGCAATTAGCTCAAAATTAATTGCCATTTAAAAATTAATCATGATTAATAGCAGTTTTAATTGCATTGCCACAATAGAATACCAACTGAAAATTTTAAAGTATTCTGGATGTTTTTCTACATTCCCAATTACAACACAATGTTCACTTCATATTATTTCTATTACCAATATTTGATCTGTAAATATCATAAATAATATTTTTCCATTTACCTCATACAAATACTGTACTGTTGTGTGATCAGTATCAATACAGGCAGTCCCCGAGTTACGCGGATCCGACTTATGTCAGATCCGCAGTTACGAACGGGGCTCTCCCTCTCCCTGGTCTCCAGCAGACCAGGGAGAGGAAGCAAAGCGGCGGAACACGCGGGCAGCAGACAGCCCAGACGCGTCTGGGCTGTTAGATGTCAGCAAGTCACCAGGTCCTGATGAAATGCATCCCAGGATACTCAAGGAGCTGATAGAGGAGGTATCTGAGCCTTTAGCTATGATCTTTGAAAAATCATGGCAGACAGGGGAGATTCCAGAAGACTGGAAAAGGGCAAATATTGTGCCCATCTATAAAAAGGGGAATAAGAACAACCCAGGAAATTATAGACCGGTCAGTTTAACGTCTGTCCCAGGGAAGATAATGGAGCAGGTAATTAAGGAAATCATATGCAAACACTTGGAAGGTAATAAAGTGATAGGGAATAGCCAGCATGGGTTTGTGAAGAACAAGTCATGCCAAACTAATCTGATAGCTTTCTTTGATAGGATAACGAGCCTTGTGGATAAGGGAGAAGCGGTGGATGTCATATACCTAGACTTTAGTAAGGCATTTGATACGGTCTCGCATGATATTCTTATTGATAAACTAGGCAAATATAACTTAGATAGGGCCACGATAAGGTGGGTGCATAATTGGCTGGATAACCGTAGTCAGAGAGTTGTTGTTAACGGTTCTAAATCCTGCTGGAAAGGGATAACAAGTGGAGTTCCTCAAGGGTCTGTTTTGGGACCCGTACTGTTCAATATCTTCATCAATGATGTAGATATTGGGATAGAGAGTACTCTTATTAAGTTTGCAGATGATACCAAACTGGGTGGGGTTGCAACTTCTTTGGAGGATAGGGACATAATTCAAAATGACCTTAGCAAGTTAGAGAAATGGTCAGAGGTAAACAGGATGAGGTTTAATAAGGAGAAATGCAGAGTGCTCCACTTAGGAAGGAACAATCAGTTCCATACATACAAGATGGGAAGCGACTGTCTAGGAAGGAGCATGGCGGAAAGGGATCTAGGGGTCATAGTGGACCACAAGTTGAATATGAGTCAACAGTGTGATGCTGTTGCAAAAAAAGCAAATATGATTCTAGGTTGTATCAACAGGTGTGTTGTAAGCAAAACTCGTGAAGTCATTCTGCCGCTCTATTCTGCACTAGTTAGGCCTCAGCTGGAGTACTGTGTCCAGTTCTGGGCGCCACATTTCAAGAAAGATGTGGAGAAATTGGAAAGGGTACAGAGAAGAGTGACAAGAATGATTAAAGGTCTAGAGAAGCCTATGAAGCCAGGCTTCATGAACTGGGCTTGTTTAGTTTGGAAAAAAGAAGATTAAGGGGGGACATGATAGTGGTTTTCAAATATCTAAAAGGGTGTCACAAGGAGGAAGGCGAAAATTTGTTCCTCTTGGTTTCTGAGGACAGGACATGGAGTAATGGGCTTAAAGTGCAGCAGGGGAGGTTTAGATTGGACATTAGGAAAACATTCCTAACTGTCAGGGTGGTCAAATATTGGAATAAATTGCCAAGGGAGGTGGTGGAATCTCCCTCTCTGGAGATATTTAAGAACAGGTTAGATAGACATCTGTCAGGGATGGTGTAGACGGAGCTTGGTCCTGCCTTGAGGGCGGGGGGCTGGACTCGATGACCTCTTGAGGTCCCTTCCAGTCCTATTATTCTATGATTCTATCTTGTACGTAACCCGGGGACTGCCTGTACAAATGTAGATTGTTACATAACTACATTCAAAAAAATATATAAAACTTTAGAGCTTAAAAGTCCACTTAGTTCTACTTCTTGTTCAGCAAATCACTAAGAGAAATATTTGCAAGCGATAACATTGCCCGCTTTTTATTTACAAGTGAGAACAGGCATTCACATGGACTTTTGTAGGAGGCATTGCAAGACATGTGTGTCAGATACCGCTAAACATTCATATACCTTTTGCACTTCAGCTACTATCTCAGAGGACATACTTCCATGCTGATGAAGCTTATTAAATAAATGCATTAATTAAATTTGTGACTCAAGGATTTGGAAGAGAATTGTATGTCTCTTGCCCAGTGTTTTACCCACATTCTGCCATATATTTCATGTTATAGCAGTCTCAGATGATGACCCAGCACATGTTGTTCTTTTCAAGAGTACGTTCAAGGGAGACTTGACAAAACACAAAGAAGGTATCAATGTGAGATTTCCTATGATAGCTACAGACCTTATGCCAAGGTTTAAGAATCTCAAGTCCCTTCCAAAATCTGAAAGTGGAGCATGTTTTCAGAAATCTTAAAGAGCAACACTCTGATGCAAATACTACAGAACCCAAACCACCAAAAAAGAAAATCAACCTTCTGCTTATGGCATCTGACCCAGATGATGAAAAAAAACATATATAAATCCACACTGCTTTGGATCAGTACTGAGCAGAACCTATTAGCAGCAGGTATGCATGTCCTCTGGAATGATGATTGAAGTGTGAAGGGACATACAAATCTTTAGCGCATCTAGCACATAAATGCAAGTTACAATAATGCCATGAGAATGCCTGTTCTCACTTTCAGGCAGTTCACTTATGAACAAGAAGCAGGCAGTAATATTTCCTGCAAATGTAAACAAACTTGTTTATCTAAGTAGACATGAAATAGGATTGAGTGGACTTGTAGGCTCTAATTTTTACACTGTTTTGTTTTTGAATGCAGTTATTTTTGTACATAATTCTACATTTGTCACTTCAACTTTGCACTACAGTTCTTGTAATATGGGAATTGAAAAATACTATTTCTTTTGGGTTTTTTAGTGCAAATCATTTGTAATAAAAATAAATATAAAGTGAGCCTGGTATACTTGGTGTTACAGTTAAAATAAAAGTATTTGAAAAAGTTGAAAACACTCAAAATATTTAAATAAATGGTGTTTTATTGTTAAACATCATGGTTAATTGCATGATTAATCATGATTAATTTTAATCGCTTGACAGTCCTAATTTTATGCAATACAAAAGAGAGAATTTTAATAAATTTTGTAAGATGCTGAATTACTTTTCTTGATTCTCTCTCGTCATCATGCATTTTCTCAAAATTAAGTTTAAAGGATGAATGGCCAACCACATTGCATCACTTTTAAAATAAAGTTTCCTCCCCAACAACCAGTTCTATCATAAATACATTTAAACTTTTCTTAAACATGGTAGCTTGCTCTGTATAGACAGGTCCTGAAATTTAAATCTCCTCTTTACAGGTATGTCTTCCAGTGGTCAGTCATGTTGAAGATTATATCTGTGAAATGTAGTTTATTCTTTCTTTTTCATCTTCTTTCCACAAAGTATATTTGTGCATACTCTGCAGCATTTTCAGAGGGTTTTGTTTTATGGGGATGTTTATTAAATGTGCATACTTCTTACTTCTCCATCAAACATTTAGGTTGGAAAAAAAATGAATAAGGTCAAAGATGTGCATCTTGCATTTGGAGCAGAAGGTAGTGAGATTTGTGATGGTCTTTAGTTCTGTAGGAGTTCACTCCCCAGGGATGAACTATGTCTCTCTTTTGAGAAGTCACTTGCTACTGCCCTTTCTCTCTATTAGAGCCACTTCAAAGTGAATTAATGCATTAATTTTTAACTTTAGTGTTGTAAGATACAACAATGTATTGAAGTTAAAAATTTAGTTTAAAAAAATCTGTGATCTGCCATTTCAGTTCAATACTAAGTCAAACTTGTCCCCAAGCACGTCCTACAGTGCTCTATTAGTGATTAGGAAGAAGATATTGAAATATATCGCATGGAATGCTCTTAACTTCTATTCACTTTCAGAACAGGATTGTATCTTTCATAGATGGCTTACCTAAATTTAGGTATTTAGATACATTGCAGAGAAACACACGAGCAGTTAATTATATGGAAGACTAAATTGAAAGCAAGCCAATTCAATGAATTTATAAAACTGGAATGCAATAATGAAAAGTTGGAGGATAAAGACTAATTAAAATGGCTAGATATTCATCAGTTTGACTTGACAGAAAGAATAAAGTAAGATTGTACCATTTTTAATGAGAGATTTTGCCTCTGATGATTGTTCCATACTGAAGCATATTTATTTACAGCTCAAGCCCAAAACAGCCTAAAATCCTCAGATTGCACGGCTCCTGATATTTCAGGATGAAAGGAACAAGCAAATTAGAATGGGTGTGTTCTGGATTAAAATCTTGCTTTTCCTGGAAGCATAATTGAAGAAACCTGCAGCTAGGCTTGAGATGCAGTTATGCATCTTCTAGACACACTGAAGTAGTGGGGTCATCAGGGTCAAGGAATAGACCCGTGATTACATGATTGCTACACATTCTCTAAATTAGCTGAAAATTAGTTTGTGTCTTGTACTGCTCTCCAGGAGCTATTTTACAGCACTACAAAAATATGGAGAAAGTTCTGCAGGAACACTATGTACTACCATCATTTCAGCAAGTGAACAGTTTCCAGCAGAATAGTTTGAAATCTCAAAGAATTAGAACAACTTGAAGAACAGCTCTTTTTGGATATTTGATAAGCATTAGAAAAAATCTGTTCCTAATAATCCCATCCTTTTGATCCCTCAAATATTATTCTAAGAAAGCAAAGCTCTCTCTTACATGTTCCCACATTCTCTATCCCTCTTACTTTTCTTTTTCCTTCTATAGGCATACACAAGGTGACATGATCTTGTTGACCTTAGTAGTAGCAGAATTCTCCTACTACTAGTTCTGTGTGTCACACTACCCTTCTCCGGTTACCATCAAAACACACAACACTACTTATTTCTGCAGAGAATGGAAACCATGCATGGACAAACACTGTAGAGGACATGCGAAGAGAAACACTGATCAGTAAAGAGGAAGACAAACACAAGTTTGACTCTTTTCAGCCTCTCCATCACTATCTCCCTACTGCCTACCATGTTAAATTAAGCTTCTTCCTCCATTTATGCCTTTTAGGATATTCAAAACCAACCAATCTTCTCTCTCAGTTTTCTTCCTTGATTCAGCTCAAACACTCACTTGATTTAGCCCAAACAGCTCATCTAATCATACCCTTCAAGTGATCTTACTAGAGTAAAACTCTGTTGGTCCGGCATCTGATGGTCTGGCACCATCAGGAACCCGGCAGTGCTCCGGGCAGCCGGACCATTGGAGCTGATCTGCCCCCAGCTTCCCCGATTCAGCCGCTGCTAAAACTGACCAGCACTGAATCCGGGAAGCAGGGGGCAGAACAGCTGGAGTGCTGCCTGGTAGGTCCAGTAGCGCTGCCCCTCGGGGCTGCGGGACCAACCCAGCAGCACCCCAGCTGTCCCGGATTCAGCCGCTGCTGAAATTGACCAGCGGCTGACTCAAGGAAGCCCGAGACAGAGCTGCACTGCCCCAGCTTCATGGAATCAGCTGCTGATCAGTTTCAGCAGCAGCTGACTTGGGTACACTTGGGACAGAGCAGCTGGGGTGCTGCTGGGTTGGTCCCTGCAGCGCTGAGGTTTGGTGCTACGGATGCCGGGGTGGTCCAGTAGCGCCGCTC